ACGCTTCGGCTATACTGGTCCAGCATCACACGTGTGTTCAGGAGCCAACCGCCAGCTATGTAGAGATGGTGGTCCACTACAAAGCAGATAGCCGATGGGCCAAACAGCTCTGTCTTTGTACGGTTCCTTCTCTGGTGGGAAACATGACACTGGAGAGTCACAGAGAATCATTTGACTGTAGGTCTGAAGCTTACCCCATGTTGCTATTCTTTGTTTGATGAGAAACTGGAGTCCTCTGCCTAGAGGGCATACAGCACATCGAATGGGAAAAAGTCTGGTGCCTTTTAACACACGGGGATGAACTCCACACAGAGTCAAAGGGAGTACATCGTCAAGAGTTGCTACAAGTACTGTTTTTTCTTTCTTTTCTTCCTAGAGATGTCCCATGAGAGGCTGGCAACCTGTCCAAAATGCAGATTCATGCATTTCTATATATACAGTATATTTTTTACTTTTATTGTGCAAGACTGCTTCAACAAAGCCTTTGTCTTTGTCTTTTGCATTCACTCCCTTTTGAAAGCTCTACATCATTTTCCCTTCTTTATTAATAAGTCATTGGAGGAAAGATAATCTGGTGAGGTACCTTTATCAAATTTGATGCGATTTTTCTTTGCACATCATTTCTGCCTTACGGCAGTTTTTTCTGCCACTTCCCAAGATTAGTGTGGAGCTACTGGACATCTGTAACCAAGCAGCACTGACGACGCCTAACAGCGTTAACATCACCATGTAACTAGTGGACAGGCAGGAAACTATACATTAGTGACTACGGACACCTTTGGCCCCCAGCTGTTAATGACACCTGAGGTCAGCCACTTTTAAAGAGTTGTTTCGTTTTTTCACAGCTATAAAAATGCTTTTTCTCATTTTATGTCTTTTTCTCCGCTCTTTTTACGGAAATTATGACTGATTTCCAACTCTAAGACGGCTGGCATTAGTTAAAAGCATTTTTACCATAAGTACTCCAGCGAGCAGGTCACGTTTTACTGTCTAACTCACGTGAACTGAAAATGCTGACATTCCTAACAGTTTCTGATTATTTTGTTTTGACGTCTCATGCCTCAGCAGTGAGTCACTTATGTCCATGAAAATTAATGTTACATTTGCCATTCGAAATGTATTTTCTTTTCTTTTTGTATATGAACTGCACCCGGTAGATGAGAATAAAACAGAAGGAAATGCACACCAAAATCCTTCAAGACAAGCCTCATCACTTGGCAGACTTCTAGGAAACACCTCCAGGAGGTCTTTGTGTGTCAGATCAGGTCTCCATCTAAATGGTCGGGGAAAGAACTGCACTTTTGTACCCTTAAAACACATGTGGAGAGGCAGCAGTCAAACCTAGGGAAAAGTACTTAAGAAATTTGGCACAACGGCCAAACTTTAGGTATGTAAGAAAGAAGTTATTTATAGTTTTACATACATGATTAATGGGAGAGGAAAGAGGAAGTTCTGATGGAGCCTGCGGTGAATTTTCAACTTTGTTTTTAGTCTTTGATGATGGGTGAAATATCCCATCATTAGCATTTAATGAAATGTAACCATATTATACATTTAAAAAGGAAAATAAATATTTTGTGCCGTTGGTAACAGCTCATTGATACAGTATCTGGAATTGTAATCTCAAGTAAGCACAGATTTGTCAGGTATTATGTCCAACTATGTCCAACATAGTATCTGAGTAAATGTCCTGGCCACTTCCCTAATAATTTGGAACCTTCTCACAGAATTTTTTCAGGATCTTTTCTGTTTCTGTCTGCATTTATCTGCTATGTCCTGCATATTAATATGTATGGGCAATGTTGATTACTGATCATATAGAATTTTTCCTCCATGGAAGGAAAGATCCCAAATGATCCTTATGAAAAAGTGTATTATCTGATAGAAGATCGCATTGAGCATCTGTGGAATTGTGAGTCATAAGAAAGGCACAGCCCAACCTGCCATGTGGATGGGATTGTGTCGTGAGGACATCTATCAACGACTGCTTCCTGGCGTAAAGCTGGAGGGTTTCAGAGGGTGGTCTGTTCAACAGATGATCGATGCAGACTATTAGCTTCAGCTAAAGGGGACAGATGAGTCACCGGAATGCGATTTTTGCCTTGAATTAGTCAGCGGGGTGCAAAAGAGGTGAAAATGAATGCATGGGTGCAGCTTTGGGTCACACCGAGGTGTCCTATTTACATGAACATTTTGTAAAATAAAGTCTTTTAACAAAATCTCTTTTAATCATTTCCACTGATTACTAATTGCTATTGTAAATAGTCTTCAGAAATGGAGCATGTTTGCCAGCTTCTCATTCCATTGATAGGGTGATGGTTTGAGTGTTGTAGTTATTGCTGTTAGAACGATCAGGAGAGGCAAAAGAAAAATCACTTATCAATTCAAGTAGACTCAGATCAGGATTAAAAACAGAATAACTAGGTCAAGATATTTTTATATTTAGGCCAGGGACATTCTGTTCAGTGTGGGATAAAGGCTAAAAACGCACATGTTCAAAGAATGATGACAATCACGGCTATTCAGACTGAAAGATTCAACATTTTGCTCCTCCTTCCTTGTTGTTGGCATGACTTTTTTGTCATGGATAATGAGTTGATTTGAAAAAGACTGCAGCATTCTCACACCAGGGAAACACATTTGTGTGTGGAGACTCTTCCAAAGGTAAATCAGTCTCACTTTGTCGTCACAACGTCGTTTCATCTTTGCGAAAAAAGTAATTCGAAATGAAAAATTAAAGCATCTATAAAATGAATCATCGTTATGTGAAGATATAGACCTTTTTTCAGCCCAAACCAACATTTCCAAATAACCTAGTTTGAGATAGTTTGCTTTCATCATTGAATTCTCATGAAGAGTCTGGCTTATCTGTAGAAAAACAATACTTGCATCCAACTGGAAGTGTTTTTTTTCCCAGACAGTTTCCAACTCTAAACACAGGGGACCACAAAAGCAGAGCAACATATTAGCATGAGGTTCCAAGCTCATGTCAGGTCGTGTATTTATGCAGTACGTCATCTGGATTAGTCCAAAACTGAGTTTTACGTTCACTGAATTGGTTGGAAGGAGTTGGAAGAAGTTAAGCTGAGCGTCTTCAAATGTGTGACACCGACTTCCAGATGCTGTGTGAACCATGCATTTCAATTGAACATTAAAGTTAAAAAGAATATGCCCTCTCTTGAAATGAAACGTTTTATCTTTGTTTTTCTGCAGGACGCGTCTCCTGGTCTTACTGAAGAGGAGCTGACTAGCCTGCTGGATGAATGTCAGCTGACAGAAAGCTGGAATCAGGACCATGAGATGAATGAAATAACCCCAAACAGATCGGATCTATCCATCTGAAGTCAGGCTCTCAGAGCACATCGTTGCTGGGTTGTAATTATGAATAAAGTAAGAAACACATAATTTTCCCTTATAAAGAATATCATACCCGTGTTGGTCTTCATTCTTTCTGGGTTCGGCTGGTCTGCAATCCTTTGCTTTTATTTGTGTTTGTTCTCCCCATTAGGAAACAGAGCAGCAGGGCCACCCTGAGTAGTAGCTTAAGTATCATCGATGAGAACAGAAAATTGCTGTCATTAAGTCTAATAACGGGGTGCGGTGGCTACAGAATGTTCTTCTGCACGCATACACATTAGCTGAGAGAAGCGGGTGAACCCTGAATATTTTCATGCTTTAAAGTTAAGCCATCTTCCTCGATATGTAGTGTGCCTGTGTTAGTATTGTGTGGTCAGACATTCATCACAGCCCAGGCATGATGTGCGCTCTATGACTGTAGCAGTCACGTTCTTAGCAGCTCCATGCATTCCAGCCATTCCTGCCTCTGTAGGTGATCTGCTAAGCTTAGTCAGATCTTCTGAAACTGGACCCTGTATGAACTTAAGTTTAAACTATATGAGAAGATTCCATCGGTTGTCTTTTAAGATTGATGTGATTAGAATTGTTTGAGAGATTTGTGGAAGCTGTTGACACACTTCCAATTTGCTCCCGCTCACATGGCCCGCACCTGGGTGACCTCTGCCCAGAGGCCTTGCGTTTCCACTCTCCTGGCACTGGACACCTCGGGGGCACGCTCATCTCACTCCTCACCTCACACGCAAGTTTTCTGACCCCGTCTTAATGGCAGGAATTACCCCACATTCCTCCGTACTCAAAACATATCAACTAGAGGAACAGGATGAGTCCTGCTGGGAGCCCTGCTAACCAGCGTTGCCCTATCTGCGGGGTCCGAGAGTGGCAGGGTGCGTGCAATCAGCGTTCAGACACACTCAACGGGAAAGAGCAAACAGTTTAATTATAGCGTGTGTTGTTTCTTTTTTCTTTTTTTTCTCTGTCTGTTTTACAAACAGCAGACGTAACCTCTCAGAACGGAAGATGCTGTTTACTGCACGTATAGGGTAATGGAAACCCAGTGAGCTCATTGTGGTAAGAATGAGGTCACTTCTAATGTAAAGAGAATGGCAGCAAACCGAGACTGTCTGGGTTTTAGATAACAGCTCTTTTTGTCACTGAAATAGCTTAAATTAGCTGTTTGAAGTCTGCTCTCAGATGATATACTGGGGCGGGGTTGTACGGCACGGACAGCCGCTCATTTATTTAGTTACAAATCAAAATTGGCGATTTTCAGTTTTTATACTTAGTGGGAAAAGTCAAGTACGACCAGCACTGAAGTTTGCTCCCAGAAACTTTATGAATTTATCTTTGTCTCTGAGCAGGATTCCTTCTGTCTACCCCTCAAAAGGAGTGCTGCTGTTTGAAGGTGTAAGGAGTTGCCTGTGTAATGCGTGATCAGATGAATATGTATGTACTGCTTAAGTGGGCTATACTTCATTTTGGGTTTTTCTGCCGTTTACTCCCAAGGATACTCCCTTTCTTCAAGGCTTCAGTAGAATCAACTAATGGATTCCAGTCGCCTGACTTGGCTCTGTTCCCTTTGCATTTCTAGGGAGAGCACTTTAATCATAGCACACGTGAAGCTCAACAAACACTGAGGGGAATAAAAGGATCTTAAACGATTTAACTGTTTGTTTTCCTACAAAGACACCAATGAGCTGTTAATTTTTTTTTTCCTCAAAAGTTTATTGTTCACTTGACATGAAAATAACAGGTAGGAGTATAAACAGCACTTTGGGTAGAAACTATTGTACAAATGTTTATAGAAAAGCTTCACTAATAATAAAAAAAAAGACACATACAAAAACCAAAAAAACAAAGACATCCTCATGTCAGTGTGCAAAAAAGGTTCATACAAATAGAAACGCTTCCACAAGAGGCTACGCTTCTAGATAAATTATTTAAATAGCATATATCTACACAAATGACAAAAAAAAACAAATAAAATAATTTATCAAAACAGCACAGGAAACACATATCGCAAAACATAGTCAAGACAACGCATCTTTAATCCTCTCCTGTTTGGGCTTCTTATGCTACAAAAATATCTTATATACAGAATATAAATGATACCAAAGTCTCGCTAAAAACTAAAAAGCCAACCGATGTATACTTGCTAAGACAAGTGATTCTTGTGTATTGCTGGACTCAATACAAAAAGAATTAATGAGGTAATATTTGTACATAAAGGGTTTCCTTTTTTACCCCCTTTGTCAGAAATGAACACCCAAGCTCAAACATACCAGTCATGCGCACTGTGCAGAGGCTTGCTTAAAATCACATTTTGTTTCTCCAATTAGAGGCGATTCTGCATTTTTTGAGGATGCTGATTTCAGTTTGTTGTATGGGTTGCTGATAACAATTACTGACGGCGAAATGCGAGCAAAAATGAAAGCATCTATGACGAACAAATAAAACCTCATCTATGCAAACAGACTGGCCCTCCTGTTTGGGTCCCCTGATATTAACTTAACATTTGCTGATATTCACTGTTCCAAAGCAGTGTGTCGTTTGCCTGCTTTGGGGCCCTGTGCTGTCCTGAATTTTCTGCTCTCGTGTTAACGCTCTTTCCTGAGATGGTTAGTGTTTTTTGGGCCAGCCCTGCCAATCAGCCACAGACAAGACTTCATACGTCTGTAGTGCCTGGTGTGATGGGTCGTCAGAGGAATCTAAACCTAATTTTGTCTTGCTTGTCTTCATCACCATGTCGGATTGCACACATGCACAACATGCAAACATCATTCACTCTCTTTGATAGTAACGGTCGGTCCATACTGTCCACGGTCCCTCAACAGTTCCTTCACAGGGGAGTTTTACCCCAGCCTAAAAAAGTTCTCCTACTGCTTTCTTCATACTGAAAAACGAGTCCACAGCAGATGTATGTTCATGCTCAAAATAATACAAAAAAAGTAGAAAAAAACCCTCTTCCCTTTGTTCCCTCAACCACAGAGGAATAACAGTTCAGGTGTGCAAAAGCAATAAGATGTGTCCCTTTTTCAGGGCCGATAGATTTAGAGAGCGCATTTCTTCCGAGCAGAGCTGCGATCACAATTTGAGTCTGATGCAGAATTATCATTGAACTTTCACTTTTCTTCAACTCCTGAGTTTGGTTTAACCTCATGGGAGCTCACTTGCTCGACAAGCCACCAATGTGCACTTCTCAAAGGAAAAAGTTAAAAAGAAAATTGATCCAGGTTGTGTGTTCTAATTGTTGTTGTGATACATTCTTCTGGAAGGCGCCTCTGTGCAATTATGTATCTGAAAGAAATTACAGATGGCATAATGTTAAAAAACAAGGTCTAAAGTGATTACGTTATTTTTAAATGTTTAACTATGATGTGCTGACGTACCTCTGCATTCATATTTGAGATCTGAGAAGTACACCATCTCCTGAGAGAAGACATACAAGCCTAGGCGCCCACCAGCGTACGTCTTGTCGTAGATGTTTCCAGAGTCAGCCATGATTCTCTTTCCTTCATACATGACCACTCTAAAAGATAAACACAATCACATGAGCTGCCATTGCCATTTTAACACGAGTTATGGATGTTTGCAGCTGAGTAAGGTTTCAGACTCACCTAATGAGTCCAGTCTTGGGTCTGTGGGTCAGGTGCCACCTGTAGGCAGTGAAGTCTTTCCAGCCAATGTTCTTGGGGTCGTGCCACAAAGTGCGGACCTGGAAAATTAAGAACCGAGAGGGTTAGGATAAGAGACGCAACAGGCGACGTCTTAAATGATTTCCGTGGTGTCGATCAGATAATCTGCACTCACCTGTCCCGGGGTGTCTCCGGTGTGCCACAGGGCGTTCCTCAGGTGCTCACCAGGGCCCGTGGTGGAGTTCACCACTTTGATTGACAAGCCAGAGTAGCCTTGAGCTCTGGTAGGCGTGTTGGACCAGTAGGTTTGTGTGATCTGTTTCCACATGACGGTGTAGAAGCGGGAGCTGGACTGGTAGCCAAAGACGAAGCCGGCGTAGTCATCATCTCTGTCGGTGTTGATGAAGAACGTTCCACTGAAATCCACAGCGCTGAACTCATCGTAACCTGATTTGTAAATAAGAGATGACTCAGAACCAGCCACATTTTCATTTTCAGATTATGTTCACCAAATAGTTCTCTGTGTGCTACATACCGACAGCGATGCCAGGGTCACAGTTGACTGTTTGCACCAGCTCCTTGCCCTGATGCCTCACCACCCAGTTAGGGTCAATCTGAGAGGTACCCTTGGGGTCCAGGGGAACCATCTGGAACCGGCGGAAGTCTGTCTCACTGATGGCAAAGTTCTCAGGGCACACATCATAGATGTCCAGAACATTGTCTTGGTCAAAGTCATCTTTGCACACATCTCCACGGCCATCACCTTAAAAAATACAAAGAACATGTTAAAGATAAGCACTGAGAATAGGACTCTGTAAAGGGAATATCACAATTTTTTTTTAAGACTCACCATCAGAGTCCACTTGATCAGGGTTAAAAGCCAGTCTGCAGTTGTCTTTGTCATCTGGAATTCCATCGTTGTCATCGTCGTGGTCGCAGGCATCGCCCTTGCCATCCTTGTCATGATCTGCCTGGTTGGCGTTGGGGATGTAGGGGCAGTTGTCCATGTTGTTCTGATGACCGTCCTCGTCAATGTCCTGGTTGTTGTCGCATTTGTCTCCTACACGGTCTGAGTCAGAGTCAATCTGTGGAAGAACAGAATTCGTTCACGATGAGATTTCCCGAAAATGTCCAATTGCACTGTGACACAATTGTCCTCGCTTCAAATACACCCTTCCACTATTTTTCACCAGCCCCAATATGAGCAGTGCCGGACGTAAATGCAAACCCTTGTGTTCAGGTATGCAAGCAATGTCCCTCGAGACAAGTACTCGGTGTTCTCCCACCTCAACAAATCACTCATTCATATTTGTCCAAAGATGGAAGAGCAGAAAAGATAAAACTTCCTCTTTTTAATTAAAACAGAATCAGTTTATGGACTTTAAACTCCATCTTTCATGCCATAGTAGGCTGTGTCAAATCATGTCGCGGTAATGCAGAGGTTTGCTTTTACCTGATCCGGGTTGTGCTCCAGAGGACAGTTATCACAGTGATCTCCAACCCCATCCCTGTCTGTGTCTCTCTGGTCCACATTGTAGACATACGGGCAGTTGTCATTCTCATTAAGAATGCCTGTCGAGTGAAAAACATGATCGTATTTACAACTGTGCAAATGCTTGTTAAGAGAGGGCACAGATGCAGCCCAGAGAACAACTGGAGAGATTGCTTACCATCACCGTCGATGTCAACAGCACAGGCATCCCCCTCGCCATTGTTGTCAGTGTCGGTTTGGTCGGTGTTGGGTTCAAACACACAGTTATCGCAGCGGTCACCAACATCGTCCCTGTCGGCATCATACTGGGCGGGGTTGTACACTCTCGGGCAGTTGTCCTAATTTCATAGACAAATATCACATTATTAACTGAATGGGGTCACGACAGAAAGCGGTTTGATTTACGGGAACTAATCTTAGCTTTTCCATTTTTTTGTCTTTGTTTTTCTCAATCTTGCTTTGGCTGGAATGTGATATTCCAACTGGCAATTTTTTTTTAGCCCTGCATTTTTCTTGCCCAGCTTTCCAAATCCGCACTAAGAATTATGGGCAACCAGCCACCTTGTCCTCATTTCTGGCTTTATGTGGAAACTGTATTATGTTTTTCCTGCACCACTGACTTTCCACTGTAGCTCTCTGGTGAAAGACAAACTGGAGCGCCCCTCATTCCTACTGCCCAGAGGAAGGATGGCTACAGCTGATTACTATGTGTGGTCTGTGAGGCAAGCACAGATCGAGGCTAAAAAAACCCAGCAAAAAACGGTGATTACTCACCCTATCATCGGGGATCCCATCATTGTCATCATCATGGTCACATTCATCACCCAGGCCATCTTTGTCATAATCTTCCTGGCCAGAGTTGGGAAGGTTGGGGCAGTTATCCTATAGAGGAGCAAAAGAGAAGGTGAGGAGACAATCATTGCAATAATGGAGTGCAGATGGGTTATGGTGGCCTTTGGTGTTTCTGCTCATGTGGGGTCTGGCTACCTTTTTGCAGTGATAAGTGGCGTTCTCCACACACAGTAAATCTTTGTTGGGCCATCCGTCCAGGTCAGTGTCTTCTCCGCAAATCCTCCCATTCCCGGCATATCCTGGCTTACACTCACAGCGGAACATGGATTCGGAGTAGACGCCCAAGTAGATGCAGTTTGCATTTTTATGGCAGTCGTGGCTTCCATCCCGGCAAGGGTTACGGGGAGTGCAAACCTACAGCAAATTACAGACAGTTAAAGAAATCCAGCTGCTTTTGAACTAACCAATCCACACAGCCAATAAGTATCCACACAAACCTGTTTTTTAGCGGTAGCTTGTTCCACTCCTCTTCCGAAGGGCTGGGGACCAGAGAAACGTGCGGGGCAGGGCAGACAGTTGTAGCCTGGCTCGGTGTTCTCACAACGATGGATTCCATTGTAAGTGTGGCAGGCATCGGGGACCTCTACGCATTCGTCAATGTCCTTGCAGCTAATGCCGTCGCCAGTGTAGCCAAGCGGACACTTTCCACAAGTGAAGGAGCCGTCGGGGGAGCTGGTGCACTTCGTTCCAGGGAAGCACGGACTGGAGAGACAGCCATCTGAAGACACGAAGAAGACGTGTGTTTTAAAAGGCCACCTGTTGTGAGTGGGGCAGAGTATTCCGGTTGCTAGAATAGCTTAGACACTCACCAATAGGACATTCCTGTTTGTTGCAAACTTGAGGCACGACAGCGTCGCCAATGCAATCCTTCCCACCGTATTTGGGTGCAGGGTCTGTGCAGAGACGTTTCCGGTTCTGGATTCCTCCACCGCAGGTAACAGAGCAGGTGTCCCATGGTGACCAAGGCCCCCAACCTCCATTGACTTAAATGTAGAAATTGATATTCATGATTTTTTGCGCTCAACCTTTACATGCTGTCAAACATTCTAGAGTGCTGATGTCTAACGTACTAGGACAGGGAGACTTATGGCAGATTTTGGTGTGACGACCCTCTCCCTGGCAGTCCCTTCCGCCCATCTGGGGTGTGGGGGAGTTGCAGAGGCGGATTTGTGTCATGACCCCTTCACCACAGGTCACAGAACAAGAGGACCAGGGCGACCAGTGGCTCCAACCTCCATCCTGTTTGACTGTGAGCGACGAATGACAAAATTAATCCACGATGATCTCAATCTAGTGTAATAAGCCGGGTTATGAATATTTTATGACTTACAGCGCTTGTCACATTCCTGTGGGTAGCAGTCTCGGGTCTGGACAGAGGTGCCTTCACATTTGCTGTTGATGCGGTCACAGGAGCGTCCACGCTGCTGGATGCCACGACCACAGGTCACCGAACAATGGGTCCAGTCAGACCACGCGGACCAGCCGTCCTCTGCATAGTCGCTCGCTGTTACGTCCCAACAGGAAGTTCGGGAATCATTATCATGTCAATGAGACATATATTCGGATTGGGTTTTTAATAAAAAAATGAATAAGCTTACGTGTTCCACAGCGGGGGCAGCATTCCCCATCCGGCACGGTGGCGTTAGCACACGGGATCAGAGGGCAGGAGATTTTACGACACACGGTGGCAGAGTTCTGGACAGAGGAACAGTTTAATGAGCACAACAGCGAAAAGACTAACTTTGATAATCCTGACTAACTGATGGATCTCACAAAGCAGCAGTCTTATAAGGGATATGACAGTCCTGCTGTGTTGGTAGAAAACCTGTAGTAATCCTCTCTAATACTCTCGCACTAACAGCCAACTAAAAACACAGCACATGAGCACCCTTCACCAAAAGGCTAGAGGTAAAGGAGCCCCATGTTGCGTGGCGGTGCAAAGGTGCAAATGTAAACACGATTATCACTTCTAAGAAGGAAGTAGCACCAAGTCCTTCCTCATCTGATCCCGGGCATGTGTAAAGGTTACATTCCTGCAGGTGTGCGGACGCTTACCTGACAGGTGCACTCTGTGCAGCCGTCCACTGTCCATTCGTCTTTGTCATGGTGCATGATGCCATTGTGGATGCACATTCCGCTGCGGGTGTTAATTTGGGTTCTCAGTAACTGGTTATCTGTGGACTGTGAAAAAAGGGAGAGTGCGGGAGTGAGAAAAAGGGTTGCTCAGGACAGAGGACGGAAAACCTTCACTTTGCCAAGGTTCCAATACAAATGAATCACCAACCGGCACTGTGATTAAGACATTGCTGGAATCTATTGAAGCAGTGCAAATGTGACCGACGGCCAAACATATTTGTGTATTCACATGGGTCTCATTAAGAGCTTGGCTGTGGACGGCCATTACAGCGACAAGTGGCTACGTACTGAGAATGCATTAACTAGAAGCCGAAGGAGAGACGGAGTGGAGAGGAAAAGTTGGAGTGACGAAGAGCAGGTCCGGACGGTCCCTTGAACTTACCACTTTTTGGAGTTGGTTTGACAGCTGTTCAACGATTATATTGAGTCCTCTGAGCTCCTTAAATATGCTGGCGATGTCATCACACGAGAAACCACAGACAGACTGCAGATCTGAATGAGAGAGTGCAGAGTTAAACAAGTTAAACAACCACGTGAAGCTTACAGTTTATTTGTGGAACATAGATGCAAAAATTATCATATTATGACTGTGACTAGAAGAGGTCTCACCTTTGGTTTTGTGGCCGGTGTAATCGGTCCTGATGGCGGGGCTGGAGCCGTTGACAGGATTGTCCAGGGTCATGACATCTGTGAGGCGGTCTGCAGTGCAAAAAGAGCAGAGAGCATTCAATGATGTTGGAGTAAACACAATTATGTGCTTTTTTCTGTCTTTTTCATCAATCTCTTACCTCCACTTTGGCACCCTTTATTTCTCATTATGGCATTCACAGTGGTACCGAATACAAAGTGTACATTCTGAAGCACCCCCTTCAAAATACAAAGGAAATTGAAAATTGTTAGGGATGCTAAAACTATCCAGCAGTTCATATCTTACAATCTGTAATTATGACTGAATACTCAGTAGAGCCAAAACACTTCTTACCATAAATTTGTCCTTAACTGCTCCCTTTCCTATCCTGAGTCTGGCTATGTCTGCCACCTCTCTGGACAGCAAAGTCTGGATGGGCACATCCAACTCTTCAACATTTATCTCCTCGCAGCCGACATAAAGTTGTGCCTTGTCATCCTGAACGAACAGTGTGAGGTTCTTCCATTGCCCGGTGGCCAAACCCGCATCCTCAATGGACAGCACGTGCTGCTGGTTCTCAGTGGAGTAAACCACATCCAGGGTGTTGGCCTTCCCGTTGGAAATGATCTCGAAAACCGGTCCAGAGCCGTCATTCTTCTCGATGGTCAGCAGACTACCCCTGGTTTTCTTGAACTGCTTCAGGTTGACCAGGAGGAGGAAGCCCCGCTCGGCCTGGATGGAGTCCAGGAGGTCTCTGAGGGAGCTGTCTGGCACGGCGGGGATCAGGTCTGCGTTCAGGATCTTGTACGCAGGACTGTAGGGGTCTAAGCCTTTGGCCAGGCTCACTCCGTGGTGTCTCTTGTTCACCCGGGCCAGGTCAAATAAATCATACACACTGTTGTCATCACGACTCTCTGCGGTCAAAAGAAAAAAAGCTAAGTCAGAAAGACTGCCGGTGACTTCTCTCTCTTTTGAACCCACAAAATGTGATAAAAATTACAGATAAATAGGCTAAAAGAAAAAAATACAGACCTGTTGCTAAGATACTGATAAGACCATTACATTTTAAATAGGTATTTCTTTACAGAACATGTAACTTAATTTTCTTTATCTTCACCTGCCAGTCTGGCGCCTTCACAACTCCAAAGCATGAACAGCAAAAAGATGCCTGACAGCATCATCTTCAGGTCTCCTGTCAGCCCCTATTCCGACCAGAGAACAGTTACTAAACACTTCACATGTGAGCATCCAAAGAGCGGCATGATGTATAAAAGTTGCGCACAAACCTTTTCAATGAACGTTGAGTCTGAAGAAAATATTAAAAACGGAGAAAAACTCTTCCACAGATTATCCCGAGTCCCGTCGAGCTCTTAAAGAAGTTCAGTCAGTGGAAGCACCGTGTCGGCAGTCGTCCTTTTTTTCTATTCCGATGCCTCCACTTATTCAACTGACTTTGACTCCTGTCTTAGGTGCTATTTAAATAATTCGGGTGCATTCCTGAGCTGCTGTCCGGGCCAATGAGACGTGCGCAGAGGAAAAAGGACGGCCTTGTTTTCTTACCTCACAGCCAGTCAGAGTAACATCCGAGACGCGCAAGAGAGGAGGGGGAAAAAAAGCATTCCTGAGATGAATTTCCATCACTGGATAAATATTTTATCTTAGCTCCGAAGCCAAGACTTGGTCGTTTCCGGTCAAATAAAAGTTATAGTCTCAATAGTCCGAATTATGGCAGTATTAGTTCCAAACTGGTATGATTGTATGAAAGTGCGTGAATATACATTATTTAAAATGAGGTAGAGATAGATAAGGATTATTTTAAACACACAAAATAACCACTAGATTCTTAAGTCCATATAAACACTCATGTTTCTGTATTTCATGTTACCCACTTGTGTGTGATCATTCCAGAGCCCCTTTTTAAAGACATACGGAGTATGGGAGTATTTTAAAGTTTCCTTTCTGCTTTATATTTTGCCATTCGTAAATTGACCAGCAGGGGGCTCTTTGAGCAAAGAACAAAGTGTACTGGTCTGTGTCTGGAGAAGAATGATGGAGAATCAGTGTCCATGTGTCTTTATGTTAAAAAGAAGAACTACTCTGAAGAGTAAACTTGAACTTCAACTTCAACAGTGAATGGGATAAAAGCATGAGGCCTGACTTTAAGGATTAATATTGTTGTGATGCATTTTGAAGATTACTTTTTTATAAGTAGTAAATCTCTTGATGATACTTAATTAAAGTTATAAGTATCTTTATATCAATTGATAAATTACTTTTTACACAAAATAAACAATGTCCTTTTTCCAACAAGACATTTATGCGTGCTCAAAATCTTAAAAAAGCAGCAACCTAAAAACAAATGATACTATACATTAACTTATTAGATTGCTGTAACTGATGGATTATCTTGAATGAACAAACACTGAAAGTCACAACACTGAGCGCCACAAAAGTTTCACTAATAAATGTAGACGTTAGCTTTTTGATTCAAGCAGAGGAATCAACAAATGACAATATTTATCTCCGTGATACACTTCTAATCATACGCCATTTGCAATCAGCTCTGTATTGGCTGATGCACTTCCAAGAAGGAGTGACATATTTGTTCGCCTTTACCCAAATTTCTTAGAAATCAGGGCAACCCTGGTTTGCCGAAGGTTAAAGTTTACTGCAGAGCATTTAACCCCTGGCCTCTTTACTCTGTCTCTGTCTTCCCACCGCCGAGTGAATACAGAGCCTTTGACAGAGACTTGCTTCTGTTCACTCCTCGCCAGGGATACAGTATATTTGGCCTTTTTTTCAGTGAAAATCAGTGTTTGCTGACTGTTTGGCTCACACACGCATGCAGACTTGTGGATTTGGAAGGGAAAATGGAGAGGAGTGAGTGTGAGACCAAGATGAAAGTCTTCTGGAAATGCGAAGGAACGCAGAGGCGCCTCCATGCTGAGAAAAACCTGTGGTCAAAAATAGTGGGGCAGTCTAAAAATAGGCTGTTTGTGACGAGAGGCAACATGTGGATACCTGCTCTACAGCCAGCGCATGCTGGAATGCATGTGCTTTACGATCAGTCTTTTTTTTTTCTCCCGTAACATATGGGATTTACAACATGTACTGCTCACCTTGGTGAAACATAAGTCTGCAGGAAGTGATGGGGCAGCAGTGAAGCTTCACAGGTCACAGTCGTATTCAAGTGGAAAAATGGCTTAGGGGCTGTGAAATGGGATCAAGGTGGGATGGTTTCATGGAAAAGAATTTTGTAGATATCGTAGGTAGGTGTGACCGCACACATCCCTGTGGGTGTGCCCGTGAGCTCACAGTGTGGGATGAAACTGTGTTGGAGGAGAAGAGACTTGCCAAGCTCCACTGAATAGCCCCTGCGCGCAGCCAAAACGGAAACAGCCCATAGATAGCAAGTGTTTACCCTGAACGCATTCCCCTGCATTTCTTCCAACTGGAAATGCTTAGGAACAGCGTCGTTAGGTGGGAGTTGGGTTGTGGTAATCACAGGAGATGTCTGGTCTGTTCTGAGCTGGCCCAGATAAAACGACCTCAAACTGTTCTGTCTGCTCACACTGACTTTAATACCGACACAGCTAAGTCACTGCTTTGTCTTTTAAATAGTGCTATTCAGTTTAACATTTAGAGAGTTCAAATTAATAACTTTTAAAAAAAGATTTAAATGAGTAAAACAATACAGTGCAGTTTGTTTATAATACAACATGAGTAGCCACCTTTCTACAGGCACTAAAAAAAAACCTGTACATGAGAGCCTTTTTAAAGCTATTTATACACCTACGTTTTCATACAGCACTCCATAAAAATTATTAGGAAAAGAAGTGTTTGAATAGCTGCAGAGGAGGTTAGAAAGTTATTCCGTCCCCTAAACTCCATCATGTAACTTAATGAGTGCGTTCCATAGAAAGCTGAATGACTTTCAGACTGCATTGAGATAATTCTTTTTTATGAAACACTAAACGATTTGGCAAGGGGCAAATAAACTTTCTATAGTTTTTCCTATTGTCCAATTAACTTTTAACGCTGCAAGCCCTGAATAAAAAAAAACAAGAACACACACACACACACACTGTTACAGTCACAGTGTGCAAAGACATGAATGGGCGAAGTAAGCAGTACCTCATAAATGCCACACTTACAGTCAAACTGCAATGGCAGCATCAGTTTGCGGGCCAAGATATTTCAGCAGATTTTCTTCCCGGTTTTTGGTAGAAACCTTTCCAATAGCACATAGGGTTTTAATTAGGAGTAAATGTTTGCATGTTAACGAGACAACAACATGGAACCAAACAGCCCTGTGCGAGTGCTGGAACTCCACAAACCTGCGGCCAAACGGAGCATCTCTGGAGAGAGCTTACAATTACTGTGAGTGTGTGCTCCCTGCCCGGTCTGGTCCAGCATTGTTCCTGCCAAGAGTCACTTCCAATGGAAATCATATGCCAAGCTTGGAGGATCATTCTTGAGAAGACTTGTAGCTGACATTTCTGCCAAATGGAATTTTGCTAAGTACTAACTGATGCATCTGAGTGTATCTTTTTAAAGATCCTTCCAAAATGTAACAAATATGAATAGAACCTTCTGAAAGCTAAGTGTTTGTGTGGCTTTTGTGTGAATGTGGTTTTTGTGAAGATGTCAGGAATCTATTCTACATTTGAATCTTTTCCAAAAGATTGCATTGAAAAATGTCCTGCTCAAATAAAAGAACTGACTCATTTGTTTGTTCAATCCAAGCCGAATGAGCCGGTCCTCAGAATGTGGGTGTTTTTCCATCTAACAGCATAGGTTTTGACGTATGGCACCAGCATCGGATGATGGACATTTATTAGCTTGGCGTCAGGTAACATGACGCAGCAAATCACTCTCAAGAACGACAGATTGAAAGTTAACTGAAAGTTGCACAATGACTCCGTCAACAAATGTCCATCCCCTTTACCCTGGAACGATTCCACCGTACTGTCCCCTGCAGCTGCAGAGCAGATAGCATTCAAAACAAAGGTGTGAGTAAAACCCCTGCGTGTATTAACAACGTTTTATTTGACAAGTTTCCCTCATTTGAATGCATCATTCCTCTCTTTATTCGTCACAAAACATGCCCAGGGCCGCAAGATTGTGTAAGACATGTTTTAGGAGGAAAAAGCTGGACAATGAAAGTGGAAATAGTGAGTAAGAGGCAAAGATGGCAGCTAGTCACACATACAACGGTGTGAGTCACAGATAAAGCCTGCAGACGCAGGTACTGTCGAGATGATTGCTGACCATCTTTAATTTTGTGAACAGAGCTTGAATCATGTTTAAGTACTGGCAATTAGCCATAAACCCTTAAGCAGGACAAATGTGGATGTACTTTTTTGTGCAAGTGTTTAAGTAACATAGAATTTATCATCTAAAGTGGAGGATAAAACCTGACAAAAAATGTATGGAATAAAATATATCAGTAAGTAAATAAAGGGGGAAAAGAGAAAGACTCCAGTGTGCTGCCAGTAAGTATAAAAGTATGTATTTAATTCTTTCAGCTGTTTTGTCTTCCGCACAAGCCAAAAAGCAAAAATCACTTGGACACATTGACTGTCATGAATCATTTCACATGCAATCCATCCTGGACCGCCAAAGGCTAAAATGAGGGATATATGGATATTACTGGTGGTTTTGGATCTTGGCAAAAAGAAAAGATACTCCACATTATAGAAACATGCTTTCTGTAGTAAAATGTCACCAGACTGAAGAATGACCTGATATCGTGCACTTTTTCACTGTTGCGTAGAATTTTTGTTGTAGATTTTCCACAGCATATAAAAAATTAAAAAAAAATTGAGGCTGCTAAAAAATCCTACCAAAGAGGGATTAGATAGCCCCCGGGCGGTTCGTCCATGTACGCACGGAAGAAAATTGTGAATTGGTTTCAGTGAGTGTGTCGATTCCGGCAAATGATGTCAGAGACTGATTATTTTGGACAGGCATTCTGAAAACTTGTCTCGTACTTTTTACGGACAGCCACCCAGTCAGCCGTGGTGCTCTTTGCATGCCAGTTGTACAAGCAAAAAGCCCTTTAGGGTAAGTGATGGATAGCGGTAAGTCCTCGCTGCTGTCTGTGACTTCTCTGCTGGTAAATTCACCTTTGACTAATGAGCTGACAGGAGACACGCTACTCAGCTATAAGAACCATACCCAGGAATGTTAAAGGCCTTTTGAAAGGAGAATAAGAGAGTGTTTGTTTTGTGAGAGGACAGAAGTTAATAAACCTCTTGAAACACATGTTGAAAAGTACTTGTACGCTATCAGCTAATACAAAGACTGAACGATGGACAGATGCTGCGCATGACTTTGAAACACCAGCACTGGCCCTTTAAAAAGATGTCGTAATGTCAAAATGTCCAGACTGTCATATTGGAATGTTACTGAATTGTTGATTTTCTCTGGATAAGGCAA